TGCATCATTCGCCGCCCAGCCCACAGAGTCCCTTACCTTGTCCCCACGCTCCCCTCGGTTCCCAGGCAAGCCCTGTGGGAGAGAGGAGTGGTCAGGGAGGGGCCTGGACGGTGGTGCCGCTGGGGAAGGGGTGTACTTACCGCTGGCCCACGATCCCCTTCTGGCCCCGGGCGCCCATCTTCACCCTGCGAGAAGAAAGGGATGTGAGAAGTGGGTCTGAGAATGGGGCACACCAGCATCACCCCTTTGCAGGGACAGGGGCAGCTCCGGCTCAGAGTCCCCTAAGGGCTGGCAGAGTGGAATTTCTAAGGTCTGGCAATGTGGGATTTCCCATCCCTGGCGGTGGGGACATGGTGGGGCTGTGGCAGTACCTACCCGAGGCCCTGGGTCAATGGCAGCCCAGCCCCCACGGCACCCTGCCAGGGGAAGGCAAGAGCTCATCCCTGTCCTTGCTGCCCACAGCTCCTCCCAGCCCTGCCTTGTGTTCCCCATGCCAGGGGACACCCCACAGTCCCCCCCACACCGCACCCCTGGGTGCCTGGCACATAGTGGACTTCCATGTGCCACCATCCAGATTGGGCTCAGCACCCTCAGGGGGCTGGTGGCTGCAGCAAGGACATCCCACAAGAGAAGCAGCCTCACACTCCTCATGCTATGGGGCTGCCCCTGTCCTACCTTGTCACCCTTCAGGCCAGGGACCCCTTGTATGCCCTAAAAGAAAGAAGAAGAGTGAGCAAGCCACAGAAGAAAGGCAATGCCAGGTGCCCTGTGAAGCATCCCTGGGACTCTCACAGCAGTTCCCACTACTGGAGAGGTGCAGGGTGGATTGCTGTCACCCTGCCCTGAGCCTGGGCAGAGTCTGTACCCCTAGGAATGCTGTGGCACCATACTCACGGCTGGCCCTGGGGGCCCCACAGGTCCTGGTGGTCCAGAGGTGCCATCTCTGCCAGGAAAGCCAATCAGACCCTGGCAGGGAAACAACCAGTGAGCAGGCAGGGACTGTGGCTAGGAGGCAGTGGGGCTTGCAGGGACCCTGGTGACACTGTCCTAGGGTCCAGGGTCACCAGGACCAGTGAGGCCAGATTCTGGTTGTAGCCTTTACCCTCTCTCCTGGGGGACCTGGAGGGCCAGGCTGCCCATTGTCCCCTCTCAGGCCTGGCTGTCCTGGCGTCCCAGCAATGCCTGCTAAGCCTGGGGGTCCTGGTAATCCTGGCAAGCCGATGTCACCCTGAAGCAGGGAGGAAAAAAAAGGGTGCCCACAAAATCAACCCCTCAGGAGTGTGCTTTTCCCTCAGCCAGGCAAGCTAGTGCAGCACCTGGGTATTGGGGATGTGATGAAAGCCAGGGTGACATGGGCACAAGGATTACCTTCAAACCCGGAGGCCCATCCTGTCCTGGTGGTCCCCGTGCTCCGACACCTGGTGATCCCTGTGTGGTGGCAGAATGTGTGGCACATCCCCTGGCTGATGGGCACAGGGATGCCAGGGGCATGGTGCCACACAGAGCATCTCCAGGGCTGGGGAGCCTCCTGGGTGCAGGGGACACATACCTTCTCCCCTTTGGCTCCAGAGGACCCCTTGGCTCCCTGTGAAGATACCAAGCCCCAGGGAAGGGCTGGGCAGTAGGTGACAAGGGCACAGATCCCATGCCCTGACAGCACCCACTGCCCCCAGAATCTAGCCCCTACTCCCACATGCCTTCTACTCACATCTTCCCCAGGATCTCCTGGCTCCCCAAATCTTCCTGGCTCCCCCTGGCGTGGGAAAGCAAGGAAAAAGCAGATGAGTAGGATGATGGACTGCTGCAGCTGGATCCCCACACTGTGGCCAAGCAGCCAGGGAGTCCAGGGCCCCCATGGCCCCCTCTCCACCACCCCCTGGGGCAGCACTCACCTTCTCGCCCTTGGGACCCGGCAAGCCTCGGTCACCCTTGGAACCCTGTGTGGGGAGAGCAGTGTTACGGGAGGGAGCAGCCACAGGGCTGGCTTGCCCCTCAGAAGGCAGGGGTGGTGGAAGGGGGCTAAGGTTAATGGGGTGGGATGAGGTTAATGGGGGCAATGTGGTTTATGGGGGGATAAGGTTAATGGGGGGAACAAGGTTAATGGGGCCAACTCACAGGCTCTCCCAGCAGCACACCCTCCAGCAGTGCCGGCTCACCCTGCAGGGACACGTGGGTGCTCAGACATGCCCACAGCAGATGCCC